TGGGTGAGTTGGTTAGGAAAAAAAAAAGATGAAGAAGAAAGAAAGAATAATATTCTGATACGAGAACAATGTTCCACTTTTTTTAGCTAACAAGCTTCACATTTTCGGAGAGCTTGAGTGTATTCCTACATGGTGAAGGTCTGTGGTCACTACAGGCAAGTCACATGACGTCATTTCACTTCCCGCTAGAAGCATCGTTTGCAATACTAATAGGCCCTTCGCCAGCTTCTGGTGCTCGGGCCTAAGAATATAATACTTAATAATATAATATTTTTTAGCAAAAACTATATATGCTTTAACATGGGAACACCATATTATACATTTTTTGAAAGCTCTTGAGATTACCCACAAAACTGACGGGCTCATCATTCCATCTGATGGGGGTCGCCCACTTACCTATCACTGACTTCCATTCATTTTAGCAATTATAAATATGGCCAAGATACTGCTGTTAATACAGGGGGCAACCAAGGGTCAGTTGACAACGATGAGTGCATGGGCGAAGCAATAGGCCCTACACCTTGTAGGGGCTCAGGGCTAATAAAATACCTGTCACCTACTATTATCACAGCAAAGAGACCAGTCATAGGTGAAATGGCCCAATAAAAGCACATTTCTGTCAACATTAATGATTTTCGTTCAAGGGTGTGTTAAATAAATATTTTACTAGCATTTATTTCGACATGCAACTGCTTTTGAGTCAGTTTATTAATTCCACCCTTGAACTTGGCTCTAACGCACAGGTACCTCAGTATAAAATCAGGCGGATGACCTCTTGGTAATATTCTGAAAGCCTCTCAAGACTTAACATTGCACAAGTTGTTCTTCTTAAAAGTACATTTTCATTGGCCCAGATTCTGCATGATTTGTCAGTGACAGGTGTTGCTCGCACTTAGCTAATACCGACTTGTTATAATAATGCTATTGATGACAGAACACTAACAGAAGCAATAAATCTTTTCCAAGCAAATAGTTGAGTTGTTTTCCAAGAAGACAATAGGGCTTTCCCACTTTTATGGACCCTCCCCCACCACACACACTCACGCCTCAGAGTTGGAAGTGATGTGCTAATTGATGCAAAGTAATGGAGGGGGTGAAGTCACAATGGCAGCCCCCGTCAAGCGCTTCAAACGTGGGCTTTTGTGTGCGTCAGCGCTCCTAGGCCTGGTTCTTCCACAGTTCTGATGTTAAACTTTTCTCATACATTTTCAGAGCTCTTGGAGTGAGAGGTGGAAGAAGTAGTGCCATTCTAGCCATTCATTCAAGTCAAGTTTTGGGTAACATATTATAATACCTACGCTTCAATTAGCCTTAGCAAAGCTTGAAAAGAGATTTAAAGATTTTTGTCAAGTTATAATGCCGTTGACTCCTCAAAAACATCCCTGGAGTTGTGTTTTGTTTCATGGTTATATTTCCAAAGCTCAAAATGCTCTGTTCCACTTTGGATCATGAAGCAGTAGTTTTCAAGTTAACAATTATCTTTTACCTTTTGTTCAATAGAGAGTGGCAATTCCAGGGCTAAAATCTTTCAAATTACTCTAGTTTCAGTTTGAGAGAACTCAGCCTCAGTATGCAGGGTTTATGTGTTAAACCTGTGAATTAAACAAAACATGACTCCAGGTATGTTTCTGATGAGGAAACAACATTACATATAAGTCTAAAGTCTATAACAGATATCATGTAAAGGGTAAAAATAAAACTACTGTCTGTATGTTACCTATACTTTCCACTGCTGCCTTGAATATGTAAAAATGGTATAACATCAGCAACCCAAATGACCAGAAAACTGTAGAAGACATGGAGACAGAGAGAATAAAAGAGGGTCTTATTTAAAGAATAAACCACTGTTCATCCTTCACAACAAATACAACTGCTGTCTGTAAGATATTCCATTGCTGCCCTCAATATGGAAAAACAACATCTTGCAAAGTAGAGCACATGACCAGAAAAGTTAAGATGTGAAAACACATAGAGAATAAAAGTGGGTCTTATTAATGCCATAATAACTTTCTGGAGATGGTACATCACTTGCATGACTCCATCAATCAATCATTAAATTTACAGTGCCTTTTAAGATACCCAAATCTCTTTACAGTGCATTATTAATTCACTCCAAGCTCGGTGGTAAGCTTCCATGGAAACAGAAAGCTAAAACCATACTTCTGTACATTTTCCAGGGAGATAGAGATAGTTTATCAGTGCAATTAACACAACAACAACAACAAAAACATCTTAATCTGTTTTTTGGCCTAAAAAGTTGCATACTGTGGTACTAAATATATCCTTCACGGTAAATGAAACTAGTGTTCTCTCTGTGTAATAAGCACTGCTTCCCTTGAATATGGTAAACAACAACCTACAAGGAAGATCACATGACCTGAAAAGTGGGTAGACATGAAAACACTGGGAAGGAAGAGGAAAGAAGTCTGAAGAGGGAGGGGAGAGGGGGCATCGTGTGGTTTTGGGGTCAGACTCACAGCTGTGTCCATCACCTTTAGCTTTGACACACACACACGCACACACACACACATACACTGACACACACGAGCGCTGCCCTGTGATCATCCGTCACAGCAGGAGACTGACCTGGGCCAGATGGTCACCAATGCTCTCCTCTTTAGCTTTTAGGACTTTTCTGTCAGGCCAGACCCACGCACAAGTGTTTTTCACACTAGCATGCTGCGCTTTTACAATACGCTCCACCTCGACCAGAGCAAGTCTTACATTGTAGTGTGAACGAGACTAACAAAGTCAACTCAATTTTAGACCAATATTCCCCTTTGTCTTTAAACCTAACTTGTTATTTCAGCAGGGTCATACCCAATGTTGGGAACTTTGAAATACTTTGAAAATGTATTGCCAGAATATTGAATATCTGCAGTAAAATCTATTTAGTAATATATTTGATCACAGTTTAGTAAAGTAACTACATTTTGAATACCGCTAATGAGAGAGTAACTGTACCGAAATACAGTTATTCAAAATTAGTATTTTAATAGAGCTGAACAATATCAAATTGTGATTTTTGACATTGATATTGTGAGAAGATTCTGTTCAAAGTTAACATTTTTGAACCGACAAACCAATACAAGAATCACATTTTAAAACATATTTACACACATCTAAAGTACAAGGTAGGAGTTTTAAGCAGAATAAGACAGAATATGTTGTTTGTGGATCCAAGTATGGTACTTCAATTGCAGCCATTGCAATTTGCTAATTGCATCCATTCAAATTGCGATTTCAATTAGATTGTGATTAATCTTACAGCCCTAATCCTCTGAACGTATTTTCAGAATGTATTTAGTTACTCCTAAACACTGGTAACACGTCTCAGAGACGTTTTCCCATGGTTTTGACTTCCTCCACCCAGCAGCAGCATGTGCGTGTCTATGCAAAGATATTGCCAAATAAGCCAGTGCCTAAAATGTTTTTATTAGGCTGCCGACATGTGTTTCCAATATACTTTAAATACAGTGCACACAGATTACTGTGAGTGCTAGAGTCTGATAGTAAAGTCAAACTCCACCCCAGTCTTAAGGACAAGGGCGAGTGAGGTTATGTCTCTTTCAGATGCTTATATTGAAATACAACAGCAATTATGCATTCATTCAACACTTTGCATATAGCCTCAAAATATGAAGATTGAAAGTCATTGTAAATCTAAATCCAGTTTAATGGTTTTCTGAGATGAAAAAGCATGGTGACTCTGTTTGACATGGCATCTCAATAACAACTTTTATATTTGGATATTTTGTTTTGAATGTTATGAAGAATATGGCATGAGTTAAGAAGTTCTTTCCCATTTTGCTGGCTGCATCACTCATCCTAGTCTCACCGTTGCTGGTATTTTTTATTTATTTGGCTTATTATGGGGTTAGAAACATGTAGGGTTTAAACAAGTTATCACTGAATGCTTACAATTAGGATACGTTAGAACACTTATGTGATACCAGTCTCTTACTATTTTTGCTACTTATTTAGAATTTATTATTAACATTTATATTTATATTTTTACTCTTTGTGATTATATTATCACGCAGCAGTGTAATTTATCATCTTGAGCAGTCATCCATCTTGAATAGTTACAGTTACTTTACTCAGGTATTGTCTGCATAATGCAATTAAATGATGTGTGACTGTTCTTTTAGGTGCCTTTGAAGCCCCCCACACACCCCCACCCTGGCAACACATCAGCATTGCCTGCTGGTCCCATGATAGTTTTGTAATGCAAGCACCACAGGAGGTCCCAGCTGACTGAACTCTTTTAACCTGGAGGCAGTGTTAGAGAAAAAGTACTGATCTAAAAGGTGGGCAGAACAGCTTAAGTTAGGAGAGCATTATCCTGGCCATGATAGCCTTTCTTTGTATGCTAATGTAGCTTCTATTACTATCTCAACAGGCGCACTCTCTAGTGACCCCTAGTGGCTTTACTTGATGCTGACCCACAGGTAACCTCATTGTAAGGCTTTGTCCGTAAGGTTGTCTCCACTTATCACATGTAGGAAACAATGACAAGCAGAGTTAATCCATATATTAATTTATAACACACACATGAAATTCTAAAAATCCAACTACTAGAGAGATCTGTTGCAAAAATTCACAATAGGTTACTGTACTGTGGTGTAAGTCTGGAATATTTGTGGGTTCCAGCTTTGTGATCATAGGCACCATTTTGGGTACTTTTCATCATTTTAAAGATACAGTATTTTGTTTTGAAAAGATAACCCCATCTGTCAACATAAGTAATCTTATGTCAAAGGTGGACAATGTAACATTTCCAGTGGGGGTCTAACACTGGCTTATCTCCATGGAGATGGTTAAAGATACCCTAGAAATAAACAGAGAAAATGAATGGAGAAAAAAAAGATTTTATGTTCCTTTTAAATGTAGCCAACATAAAACCACAATAATTCAAGTGCATTATTTCCAACTGATCCATTGTGAAAATATTTACCACTCACACAGTCTGGCATGTGAATTTTGTCTTGAGTCTTGGGAGGTGTTTTTGACCCCTAGTGGTCTCCTGACCATTGTGCTACAGGTGTGAGTTTTTACAGTTTTGTCTGTTGAGTTTTAAACTTCTCACATGTAGGAACGAATGAAAATCATAGGCCATATAGTGTATAGTAATAAAAAAGTTACATCTAAAAATCTTTAATTGAACTAATATGAGAGATATCTTTTGCTAAAAAATTCACAATTGCCTTATGTATGTGATATAAGTTTTTAATATTCCTGGGTCTTAGTTTTTTGATTATACAGTTTTGAACATTCTTTACCATTGTTTTTAATAGTTAGCCATGCACATCTGTAAAAAGCAAGTTAATTGTGTTCCAGAGGGGGCATGCCATTTGCTTGTCTCCATGAAGATCTTGATTTGCCTGGAATGTTTCACAAAACGGCATTACTCATATCTGGCATTTATTCATGGGTGTTTATATTGCTCAAAAATGCCTTGAAAAACATGCATTCTTAACGTGAACGGGCTCACCTCTCCACAGATCTGACCTGTCTGAAGTCATCACCTGCTATCACCGTGGAAACATGTTCAAGGTCATCATAGGGAACCTTCCATGGTAATAGAAGAACCTTCCAAAATCGATGTGTGTGAATGATTTATTATGACCACCCTGGAAATAAGCAGAGAAAATTAATGGAAAAGAATGATTTTATGCCCCTTTTAGATGTGTCCAACATAAAACCACAATAATTCAAGTGCATTATTTCCAACTGATCCATTGTGAAAATATTTACTACTCACACAGTCTGGTATGTGCATTTTGCCTTGAGTCTTGGGAGGCGTTTTTGAATGAGGGTTTGGTGGTAGCTCTCCTCACGACATTGTGGTCAGTACAGCCACAGTCCTGCCCCGGCTGTGTGTCTGTGGCCTGGCTGCAGCAGCACACGGGGGGGGCGCTGGAGGCACTGCTCTTTTATGGGACTTGTTCTGCAGAGAAATGGGAGCTCAGGTCACGACATGAGGTTGACTTACACAAGAGAAGAGTATAAGGTTCACACACACAATATGGGCCTTTGTGACCACCGGGACACTGTAAAAAAAATAAAATAAAATAAAGAATGTGAAAAACAATGGACTGCATCCAGTTTGGTTTGTTTAAAATGAAAATATAACAAGACACTTTTAGAATATTTTTTTTAGGATTTTTGATTAGAGATTGCCCATAATATCTAAATAAGCATTTAGCTTTATATTGAACCAAATTGTAATTATTAATATATAAAAATATGCTAAAAACACATTTTCTTTTCTTCTTATATATGTATTTTTTTTAACTTCTTCAATGGCATTTTGTGCTGTGTCTTACCAGTGGAGCATGACTTTTTGTGTTAAATTAAATCACCTGTGTTATCTTTTGGTGTGTTACAGTATTAGGAATCCAAATAAACTAAAATGTGTAAGATGTGCCACTGCCTTTTGGGTGTTTTCAGTGCAAATCACAACAAATCATCTGCCTTCATTTTACCCTAACTCTCCCCTTTACACTTCCATATAATGTCCAATTATATCTCAAAACGCTGACACTTTTTCTCAGCTGCTATTTGTTGCTGCTAGACTACTGTTTTTCTGCAAATAGCATAGTCTGATGTTTGCTCAACCTAAACTGTGGTATATCCTCTTCCAAGCACGTGGAGGTCACATGCAGTGTGGCTTTTGTCTCTGTCCCAAGCCTTGAGAAATTAAGAAAAGTGCTGTGTCAGGAATCAGGGCGAGCATCTGACTGCATCCTCTCCCAAGCACATACTGTTGTTATGCCCTTGGGCAAGATCTATCAGACATATGCAGAGAGTAAAAAAGTAACTATTAAGTCATAACATCTGATTTATAATTTGAAATTTGAATGATTTAATGTTGTCAACATAAAGCTTTTGTCACTTGTAAACTTTCTCACAGTGGGAAGTGAAATCAGAACATTTGCTTAAGTAAGAGTACTGCTGAGTATCACTCAAGTAGCTGTAAATATGCTGTCCAAAAACTACTCTGAGAAGTAAAATTTCTTTAAAATTTCATGCAAATGTAACTATACCACCTCTGCCTACATGCTCTTAAAACCTGTCAAATCACTGTGTCTGATATTGTTGTAAACTTGATTGGGATATATAAGATTCATAAAAACGTGCCTCTGATGTCATTGACTTAAATTGGGCTAAAGTTTGGGGCGCAGACAGGACCCAGAGGTGAGAGCAGACAAACTACTGTAGCAGATGTGGCCTTTTATGCGTCATGCTCTGCTTCATGAAACCCTGTATATTAGACTCTGTGTGCATTCCCAGTCCTTGTTAGTTTTTTTCTTCCTCTTCTGTTTTTACTACAGGCTATAAAATGGGAAGCCAAAACCTGCTGGACACTTTTACACTGAAAACCCTAAAACCGAAAACTAGATCTGATCACGAACATTGGTGAAACATGGCAAAGGAAGGTCAAGCCTTTCAAGGGCGCAACGGGTGTTATTTTCTCCAATAAACGTTAGAATCTGTGTGGTATTTCTATTTCCTCATTAGTCTGTGAGAACCAGACAGCTCACTTTGAAGAGCTGGTGTGGGGCGCTTTTATAATGTGCACTATATATGTCTACAATGAGGTGAGAAATAAAACTGTTTTGGATTTAACTTTTAAGTGTGGCTCCTCCCTGCTGTGATGCAAGTTATCTGACACATTACTATCCCATACAAGGCTTGTTATCTCACATTTGAGCTGGTCCCAAGCTAAATGGAATGGATTGAGTTAGTATCAGGAAGATGTCAATATATATATATAAAACAAAATATTACTGTATATCTTTTGAATGGTCAAGTATCCTCAAAATGACACCAAGCAGATTTTTTGATGAGCCTATAATATTGGGGTTTCACTTTCATATTACAAATTATTTAAATTTAAATGTTGGCCAGACCTATAATCTTTCAAGATTAGTAATTTTAGTATTATACTTCCTGGTTAATAATGTATACCTTTTTTTCGTAGGCAGGTCTAATCATGATAACCCGCTATCACATTCGTTTTCTATACAGATTCGTCTTAATATAGAGTTGGAATATTATTCATGAGCTCTGGCCTATGTGCAATAATTTCTTATTCCCTCTAACTCTGGGCTCATGCATCTGTAACGTGGCCCATTCTTCATTCAAAGTTTGCAAATAAAAAAAGAACAAAAACAAAACAAAACAAAAACTAAACATAACATAACATATATTTTGTTTAATCATTGCACATACCTTTAGCCTGACTCACACCCCGACAACATCCCTTTAGTGTTCTTAAATACACAACGTCTGGTTAAATATTTGCTGCTTTTACAACCGCAAAAGCAACAGGTGAGGCGCAGCCCTTTTTGTCCCTCTGTTGTTCCCGTCAGAGCAGCCTCCGACAACAACATAGAACTGTCAACTTCTGCTTTTTGTGCGCTGCACAGATTAACGCACGTTTCGGTTCATTTTTATTTCAACACAGCATTGCTCAATAATGGAAACACTTTTTAATAGCTATTACCGAAACTGTCGCCTTATATTCCACCAACATCGATGAACAAATGGTAAGTTTAGCTTGTTTTAGCCGAAGCTAGCAAACTTCTTAGAGCTCTCTTCCCACACTTGCTGATCACAATCTCCACGCCCAATGTCAAAGAAAACTAGATGCAATTGTATTCAAAACGCGATTTCTAATGTTGTATAGTCCGTAGTAACGTGTATAGCTTTGTGTTTACCTGTGAAAGTAAAATGTTAAGAAACGTGGCTTAATCTTCTGTTAATGCGCTTTACTTAGATTATTTGCAGGTGTACTGTGCCATTAACTCGCAAAGCACGTTTTTGTGATATTTTTGTTTCTGTACAAGGAATTTCCATGTCCTTTGAGTGACATTGCAATAAATTGTGCTGCCAGTTACTTTAGCAGACTGTTGCATACCACATACCATACATATGATTTGAACAGTATGTGAAAAAAACATTAGCTAAGTTATTTGTTTTGAACTTTTGACAGGTATCTGAAAATAAAACCAATCAATCCAGAAGAGCAACAATGACACATTTGATATTTGCCAAGAAAGTGATTTATCCTTGGGAATAAAGTCAACACAAGAATCAGAGGATGTGTACACTGTCCGGTGGCTCTATCTGTCCACCATGATGGAGAGGACAGAGGAGAAGTAAGTAATATGCACAAAGTGCATCTACAATGGACAAAAACAGACTGAAATTGTCATGTTGCGTTCTTTCCGGACAAGACAATATGCAACACTGAACACATCTAGAAAACACAAAATCAAGAACATAACAGAACATGAGTAACAGTACAGGATGAATAAAAACAAATCAAATTGTGATTCTGGGTGCTAGTAGTCAAGATTTCTTGATAATTATGACTTAACCACTCCACTCATTAGGATTATCATAAAGACTTTCATAACAAAGACCTTGTTATCTTTAAATCAATTTGTCAAAAAGAAATAAAAAGAAGAGTTAAAAATATTTTTTTAAATAAAAAAGGTGATTGAATTGACAAAAGTCAGTGTACTGTAATTACTGACTAATGAACAACTAAAGTAATTGTTATTTTTGCAGCCCTGTTTTAGACATTTCAGATTATTTCTTGGTATTTATTACTTGTTGGTACATGAATTGCCAGCTCCTGTTTTTCTGCCCCATCTTACATGTTCATCTCCTTGTCCAGTTACAACTTTGTAAGCATAGGCAGTAACACAATGTGCCACTCCCTTAAATGCACTACATGTCAGGGCAAGAAAGAGGAAAACGATTCTTCGATGGATGAACTGGCATGCACTTGCACTTCATCTCACAAATCGCACAACTAAAGTAAAATTCAAAAATTGTCAGACTGCCTAAAAATCATTTCCTTTGGACTTTCCCTTGCGGTGAAACTGACCAAAAATGTGTTTATCAGGAGATTACTTTCCTGTTTGACTAGTGCTATAGTGTTGTTACTGTAAATATGAATGTGTATATGATTTTAGCTCTGAGGTAGACCACCCCCCCTCACCTCCGGAGCGTGGATTACTGCATGTGTGGCAGTCAGGGGGTCACGGTGAGCAGCTGAGCCCAGAGAGGGTGCTCCTGTCCAGGCCTGTGCTGCAAACTGCCCTGGGAGAGAACCATGGACTCCTGCTTTCACAAGGTAAGTGTGGCATAGGAATAGGATCAAGTTACATACAGCTCTGATCTGTCATCAAAACAGATTAGGCGAATCTTTACAAAACATAGCAACAGATGACAACAGAGTATCTATTACAGTCATTTCATATACTGTGTTGTTGACATTTTTAGGCAGTAGTTACATTTCAAGTCAGGAGAGGTTTCTGTTTTCTAAATAACTAATGATTTTATTAGTTTTGGTCAAAAGAAGTGTACAATGTGTGTAGTCATGTAAACATAATTTTAATAAACCTAATTGAACTGGATTTCCCCTAGGTCCAAATACTGCATTAGACTACAATGTTTTTTTCATAATATTCATTGATTTCTAGCACTTTCACTCTATTTCCTGTGGTTGGTTTCTTCCAGGAGGTCTGGTGTATTCATTTGGGGAACTGTTTTGGAGGGGGCTGAGTGTCCCGCTGACTGCCCCAGTCCTGGAGGTCTCTCTGCAGGGGAGGGATGTGGTGCGGGTCACTGCGGGGGGCTTCCACTGTGGAGCAGTGACCGCTCAGGGCAGTGTCTACATGTGGGGCGAGAACACAGCCGGACAATGTGGTCAGAGCTCGAACATCACAGGTGGGATTGGACTCATGGGCCTTATTGTCAGGTTCAAAGACATTGGAGGATTATGGTGTTGTTGTTTTTTTTTCCCATCATTTTATTTTAACCGTGATTTACATAACTTACATTCAATGAACCAGAGATGCATACAGTGTACGGTAGGTAAGAGGCACTTCTGTAAAGTTAAAGTATCATCTACTGTCCTTTAAGATAGGATAGTCAGGGAGTTCATTCATTTGATGTTACAATATTTTCCAACCCTGTACTGTAAAGATGGTGTTGTTTTTTGCTTCATGCGAATAGACCCTGTAACTACAACACATCTGTATTTTGACAGTTACAAGACAAATTCTACCATAGAATTCTGACCTGCAGCTCAGTGTTATTCTGTGGGTGATTTACAATATCCTGTGAACACAACCTTTTGTGTTTGTAATTTAGCAAATGACACCTGATTTTATTCAGATTACCTGTGACATTTTGGATTCAAAAGCAGTATTAATCATTTGCATATTATATACTCAAACCCCCATTGCTGATTCTAGCCATATATATAATCCCCTCTTTGTTGCTGTTGTGTCCTGCAGTCTCAGAGCCCAGTGTGGTGAGTGTGGTGGACAGTGAGGTGGTCCCCCCGGTTGCAGTGCGGGTCGTGGATGTGGCTTGTGGACGGGAGCACAGTCTGGCCTTATCGTCCCAAAACGAGCTGTGGGCCTGGGGCAGCGGCTGTCAGCTGGGACTCGTCACCAAAACATTTCCTGTTTACAAACCTCAGAAGGTTCGTTTGGCACTGTATTTAAGAATATGTTTTGAATGGTCCAAAATTGGCTTTGCAAGTGCCAATTATATAAAGGTGCATTAAGTAACTTCTGGTGGGGGTCCGTTACCTGCTTGTCTCCATGGAATTGTTGTTGCTTTACCTGGAATGTATAACAGTATAGCATTAAACCTTTAATTCAGTTACAGGTGTTTTATATTGCTCAAAAATATTCATGCATTCTTAATCGTGCTCACCTCTACACAGATCTGACCTGGCCTGGTGGGGTCACCTAGTTGTTTTCCTGTACATGAATAGTTCAATACCATGCTGTAGAGTATTCCTGGGAAAGTAATAGCTCCATGGAGACATGTACCCTCCTCCACAAAAAAGTGCAGCTTTATTTCTCTACATTTAGTATTACAAGACTAATTCAAGACTAAATTTTGCAAAAACACAATAAAAAGTCAATATAAGACTCAATTGAGAACACCAGCACAGTGCGTACCTGCATACCAAAGTTAGAGAATCACTGAGCAGAGTTGAAATTTGCCGGTTGGATTAATATTTGCTTTGTCTGTCCAGGTGGAGCACTTGGCAGGCAGACATGTGATCCAGGTAGATTCCACAATATCTTCACAGCCAAGTAAAATGTCCAAAATATGAAGTATGCAGAGGTTTTGCTGATTATGGCTCTTGCAGGTGGCTTGTGGGGCCTACCACAGTCTGGCGCTGGTTAGAAGTCTTTCTCAGCCTCTCAGCAGTACTCCAAAAACTGTAGAAAAAGTGAAGAGGGAGCGGCGCTGGTCGTCGGGTCACAGTTTTGTGTCAGAAAAAATGGAGGCGTCAGTGGCTGAAGAAGATTCTCACTACTGTCCGCTTGGAGTCGAGCTGTCGGATGTCTCTACAGGGGAGGTACAAGTCTGATACAGTTCATAATAAGTGCATCTTTGGCCCGTGTTTCCTAAAATTGAAATAATTCAGAAATACATTATAGCTAAAATGCAATAATGTGAGTTAATTTGTATTCTTCCTGTGAATTTTGGTCTGTCTACTAGGGATGGGCATTCGATGAAATTTTCTTAATCGATCGTCGAGAGAATTAACGATCGATTATCGATTAATCATTAACGTTTTTATATTAAAATGATCATCATTATTATTACTATCTGTACTCCTAATCTGCATAAATAAATTCAACTTTACGACAAATAAACCGAATCCGTAACCACTCTAGAGCCACATCAGCCCATTTATTATAATGTGTTTAATTCAGTTTTGCGCAACTCTCACAGAAACGAAACTTAAACCGCATCGCTAATTTGCATAAACTAAGCGAAGATAAAAAATACAGCTCTTGTGCGCTGATGCGGTTCAACTTCTGTCGGATTAAAAGACATGACTCAAAGGAATACAGGTTAGTGTGACCATATTTGCGTTTGTCAAAACAAGGACACCGTACGGGAGGTGGGGACTCGTCATCGACATTGCGCGACTCTCACCTGGTAAAGCTTTTTCCCACTGGACACCAAAACATATGTGCTGCTTTGTACACTGTGCACATGGACTCACACTTGTCCCGAACGCAACGGAAAGTGTGGAATTTCTTATACAAGTCATCGTTAAATATGCATGTGCACTTCGGTACGTTGCAGGTGGACTGACTGTGTCTGCTCGCTCCTTCTGAGTGCAGAGAGACACATGTACGGACCCCTGTTTGGTCACGCTACGCACAGCAACCTACATTCGGTTTGTCGATTAAAATTTACGTAATCGATGAAATTCTTAATGATCAATTATCGATTAATCGACTAATCATGCCCATCCCTACTGTCTACTTGTCTTCTATTGACTGATTATCACTGCTTCATTTACTAACTACCTCTGTTGGTTAAAGGTGTGTTCTGCCTTGGTTCTCCTTTGAGACTAGTTTAGTCTTGGTGAAGGTTTGGGGCTGTTCTAGGCTTAGTTTTGTCTTAATATTGATGTGGTTTGTGTGACTGTGTGTGTCTAGTTGTCCTGAAAGAAAATATTTGTGAAGCCATGAGAGATGATTGCTGTTATGAATTATGGCTCTACAAATTATAAACTGAATGGAAATCTGAAATTGATCTCACTGTGGAGAAATGCACTATATGCAGCATATAAATTAGATAAATGTGTTTTTATTGTTTAGTTCTCTAAAGCTACTGACTTTTATATCACATGGAGTACATGATGGAAAACTGACCTCGTAGAAAACTTATTATATTAATAACTCATAGTTTTTACACAGAATGGTTTGCCAGATACAATTCTCACCATTTATTTTGGCTTGGCAGTAGCACAAAATCTGCTGTGGCACATGAGAGTTGGAAGAATGGTCGCACTATGAAGTTTTGATATTTCTCCTATTCATTGACGGCATTTTGTAAACTGATAAACAAACACTCGTTCAGCATTCATACTACATGCGGCTGTTAACACCTGCCTTCAGCTTTGCACAGTTGCGGGTAAATATGAGTCAGATGAAGAGGTTTTATTCATTGGTTTGTTTTGCCAGTGTCCCAGAAGGAGTGTTTCCAGAAGGAGCCAAATAGCAGGCAGAAGTCCGCTCAACAGTAGCACTGGGTCTGTACGGCAGCCACTCGCCTCGCTGGGCAAATCACACTCTGAACAGTTGAGTTGTATTTTATTTGCTCCTAAATATGTTCTCATATATTTATAGATTTGGTCTAAGGTTGCATTCATGTGACTCCAACATTAGAATCCTTATAGCTAAAAACTGAGCTGCAAGACAGGTGGATCTTGTTTATGGTTAATAGTCTTGTAATTACTTTGATTGTCCACATAAAACAAAAATTGGCACAAAGTTTAAAATATTTAAAATATTCTCAGTCAACATATAAACTATAACTGATATTTTCACAATAGCTTCAGAAAGTAGTGCCACTATGTTATTGTTATCAGTTGAAAATATTTATATGGCATGTTTGTCTTGCTAGTCTTTAACAAATAATGATAAGGCTCAACATGGATCCTTAATAAACAGTAAATTTTCAATAAAGATTCATAGACCAAAGCCCTTAATTTGAAATTCTGACATAATCAGATTCCACAATTTAACCTATATATTTTTGTGATTCCTAACAATTCCAGGAACTCTGTTTGCACTAAATTGAACTTTGATGAATTGTCAGACCAAACAGACTTCAGTCTTAAACCTTCGTCTCACTGGAAAAACAAAAAGAAGTTCTCAAAGGAGCAGGACCTCCAGACTCTGCTGCACAAACTCTCAGTTCATCCAATAGAAATACCTCACACCCCCAACTCCACTGACACAGAATCAATGAGTGCATCAGGTAAGCAACTGTTTTATTGACTAATATTTGATTTCCTATCAGATTCATCAATCAGAAATTGTTTTACACATATTCTATCACATAAAACATAAGTAAATCAGGAAATAATTATGGTTGTATGTTTTGAGAACTCACAATTTCGCCATTCACAAGTCATTTAATGGTTGATTCCAGCATTGTCTGGGCAATCATTGACTCATAGCTATTTTATTTTCTTCAATACTCCATCTTTATGTGTGAAGGAAAGAAGTGGTTTATCTTTCATACCACCCCAGCTATCCTGCTCATTGCATCATTGTTTACTTTTGACTTTGTTCTTAGCACCTTAAATATTTCATTCATTTTCTTTGCTCTAAAGTTGATTTCCTTTGCTTTGCTCTTCAGTTGACAGCTGCGCCTCCTCTACACCATCTTCAGATTTGTACTCTTCAAGCTACAAAGACGAATCTCCGCCTAAAAGTCAAACAAACCAGTAAGAAGAAACTTGGTCGACAATTGTGCCAAGTGTAGTTTATTGTATTTCTAAAAACAATTAAGATTCAAGTAGGGCTGGGGGATATTACACAAATAATTACCCCCTACTGACCAATCTATGGTGTTTTATTTTGTCGTGCTCAAAACAACTTAAAACTGTTTAATATTCATTTACTGAACATAAACGTTATGCAGTCTTTTAATTTTCATTTTAAAGTTACCATCTATAAATAAAATGGACCCACCCCTCTTGTCTTCTCGCATACCACCACTAGATGCTATCTACGTTACTGCTGTCTGATAGTGTACTTGGGGCTGTTATGGTTGGGGAATTTCTCCTGTCGTGTGGTGTAGCAGGCGGCGATTCATTTTTGCAGTTACCGTGACAGCCCTAAGTGTAGTATCTTGGTCTTGTAGGAAGACCAGAAACATAGTTGAGCCTGAACAAAGGCCAGGTGAGGGGGAGGGGAACAGGTTCCACATCTGCCATCTACTGGTAAAAGAAAATCAAATAAACATACAGATGATAACACAAAAAAATTTCAAATTTCTGAGGTAGACCTCAATTTAAAAGCCTAACTATTTAATTGAAATTTAGAAATGACAGAATCTTGATCTCATTTGATTAACTGCAGAGCCCTATATTAAATTCACAATTATGTTTCCCTATTTAGCAGCTTTGGGCCTTACTCATCCTCCCCCGTTGGCGTAGATGAGGTGCATCTTTGCCTTCGGGAGCAGAGTCAGTCTCTTTATATGGAGAACAGCTCCAGTCTCTCAGACATAAGAGAGAAATCTACACAGTACAGGAGGCGATCACTGCCCGGGATCCCTTCTCATGGTAAGTACTGATTATGGCAGAGGTAAACCCAAAGCTTGTGTTCAGTGCACCAATAGTTGCAGTAAAAAATTACATTTATGTCAATATTTTTTGAGCTATAATGTCACATCAGGTTTGTCATCTGCCCTCTGCTACAATGGATAATATTCAGTGTGTATGTAGTTACAGAATGTTGAAGATTTTTTTTTTTTATTGTAGTGTGCATAGTTATTAAAGCATATTTTGACAATTTATTTTATCCTCAAATGTACATTATATATCAGTTGTGTATGGCTGACACTAAATTAACACTAAAGGAACTCATGCTTTCTTGATGGAATGGCTAATTTACTGCAAATCCTTTTCTTAAAAATACTTTTCATAATGTTGAACAGTGATATTTATTTTACAGTTACTCTTGCATTCTTTGCTCTTTGTCCAAACAAAGGCTGCTGTGTTGGTATGTGGTGGTTTAGGGAATACGTTGTTATCAGGACTTGGATCAGGTCATGTAACTGTTCTTAGGGTCTCCACGGCAACACCATTACTGTGCCTGTAGGACGTCCTGTACAGGTCAAAGGTCAGGCATGTCAGAGGAGGCTGGAGACGGATTGCCCTGCCTGGATACTGAGGTGTGGAGTTGGGGCCGGGGCTCCGAGGGTCAGCTGGGACATGGAGATCAGCTGGCCAGGTTAGGACATGAACAGGGACAATGTGTTCTACTATTAAAGGTCATATATTATGCAAAAATTGACCCTTGTGAGCTTTAAGCCATGTTAGAATATTGTTACCTCATCAAGAACATACCTGGGGTTGTATTTTGTTTTATTCACATATGTTTATTTTTATTCTTTATTCTTTATTATTAGTCTGTCAACATCTCAACATTTCTGTGATGTCATGACGCTGTAGTTTTCAAGCTGTTTTCAACAGCTACCTTTTACCTATTGTTCAGTAGAGACAGGGCTGAAAATATCCAAATGATTCCAGTGAAGGTGTATGGAGTTTATTAACACAGTGGAGCACTTCCAGTAGTACCACATGACGTCACAACATGGAACAGAGTGTTTTCTGTTTGAAAGAAGAACAGGGCTTGTGTGTTAAAAACACAACTCCAGGTATGTTTTTGATGAGGAAACAACATTATAACATAGATCACACAAATTGGCATAATAAAGTATGTGGACTTTAAACAAAGAGGTGCTTAATGTTATGTAATTATTGTTTAACTTTCTGTTCAGACTTCAGCCTCTGTGCATCAAACCTCTGACTGGTGAAGAGGTGATTAAAGTGGTCGCAGGATCACACCATTCACTGGCCATCACTGCACATTGCGAGGTAATAATCTGTTTATCAAACATTATTTATATACTTTTTATACAAAGTTAAGTTCAAAACAATTCCTGTACCTTATCAAGTACCCTGTTCCTACCTCCAAATCAACACACAATCAACTATGCACACACACACACACACACACCTACACACCTACACACACAAACACACACACACACATTAAACTGTGAGCATGAGACTGAGTACACATACAGTCCCTGACAAAAGTCTTGTCGCTTATCCATTTTGTAGAAACAAAAGCTTATAACTTGACTTTAATTAATCGATTGGTTTTAGAAATGTCTCATATGAAAGCTAAAACCCTCCCAAATTATGCTCAGTAAACTAAAATAAATTTGCTTCACTGAAAAAAGATTGATCATTTAATGAACACAGAAAGGTCAGATTTTGGCAAGACAAAAATTTTGTCGCCTACAGAAAATTGAACAAATAATTTACTTCAAATACAAAAATATGTTGCATAAAGTCAGTGAATTAAGTAGTGGTGCTGTGAGATCCATATTTAATATCTTGTATGACTTCCATGAGCTTGAAGGACTGCATCCATGCGGTTCGACAATGATTCACACAATTTGTTGATGAAGTCATCAGGAATAACAAAGAAAGTGTCTTACATGCCTCCCAGAGTTCATCAAGATTCTTTGGTTTTGCCTTCCATGTTTCCTCTTTCATTCTACCCCAGACATGCTCAATGATGTTCATGTCTGGTGACTGGGCTGGCCAGTCCTGGAGCACCTTGATCTTCTTCGCCTTGAGAAACTTTGATGTAGAGATAGAAGTATGCGTTGGAGCACCATCCTGCTGCAAAATTTGACCCCCCTTTTATGTTTGGGAATGTGGTAAGAGGGAGCTAATATGTCTCTGATATTTTCCAGGTTATTGCACATATTTTGTTTAGTGCTGGTTTCTGTGCACTGATTCGACCATGGAGGCCATTTCGAGACAAAATTCTACAAACTGTTCAGGTTGACACAGGGACTTGAGGTGACCAGGCCTGGTGGAGCTCTGCTGCAGTGGAAAAGGGGCTGGCCGTGGATTTTCGAATCAACACACGGTCCTCCCGAGCAGTTGTCTTGTGGGGTCTGCTGGACCTGGGCTTGTCAAAAACATCTCCAGTCATTTCAGATCTTTTTCTTATTCTTTGTACTTGACGCTGAGACACATTGAAGGTGTCAGCCACCTCAGCAGTGGATCTGGTCTTCAGCCTCTTGATAATTAATGCTTTGGTCTCAGGGTGGATATTAGGCATGTTGTCAGAGGTCAAGTTGCAGTTGATGTGAAGGCCTGGTGTGCTGAGGTTCTTTTTATACACACCCACTAACTGATTGATCAGTAACTGACCACAGGTGAGGCTGTAATCTAGGATTAGGTGCATCATATGACAAGGCGACAAGACTTTTGTCTTGCCAAAATCTGACCTTTCTGTGTTCATTAAATGATCAATCTTTTTTCAGTGAAGCACATTTTTTTTAGTAAATTGAGCATAATTTGGGAGGGTTTTAGCTTTCATATGAGACATTTCTAAAACCAATCGATTAATTTAAAGTCAAGTTATAAGCTTTTGTTTCTACAAAATGGATAAGTGACAAGACTTTTGTCAGGGACTGTACACATACACAAATATACTGTACATTCATGATTCCTCTAATCCAACTGTTACAATGGAAGGTTGAATTCAGACTTAATGTTCAGTTTTTTGTGCGTCACCCTTAAAATGTGCCACTTATTTTCTTAACAATATCTTGTGTATTTAGTAACTTAATATATGTTTAGTATTAACATTTGTATTTGTTTAGGTGTACTCATGGGGCAGTAACATGTGTGGTCAGCTGGGTCATGTTAACAGCCCAGTCACAGTCCCAAAACAGGCCAAGGTAAAGTGATATTTTGGCATTTTTTTTCGAGGGGTTTGCCACCAGTTTGTTATTGCTTTACATGTTTATTTTTCCACAGCATGGCATTAATATCCTATTTGACACTTTTATTGTTGGGAAAAAACAAGGGGGAGAAAACATATTGTGAATGAGCTCTCCACAGTAACCTGATCTGTAACTTGTACTGGTTGCGGCACCAGCTTGACTCCATGGAGATAAGTTTAATAGAACAATCCAGGCAAAGGAAGAACTTCTCCATGGAGACCCTATACCTGAAAAGTTACATAGTGTAGCTTTATGTGTTCAATTTCATGTTTTAAATCCAATATGTAGTATATACCCTGAAAGTGGCCAAACTAAATAGATTCATACTTTATTGTTGCAGCTCTCTGAAGGTATCCGAGTTTGGGATGCCTCAGCGGGACAGAGCCACTCTTTACTGTTGGCGGATGGAGACTGTGTGCAGCCCGTGCTCTTGTACTGTGGGCAGCAGCAGGAGCCAAAAACAGAGGAAAGTGATACACCCCAGAAAGGTCAAAGGTCATATCAGAAGTCACCCAACAGGTCTGAGAGCTACACTGTCAGGCCCACTCTGATGCCTTTCTGCATGGAGGTTTGTACTGCTAAAACATGTACAGTAGTGGACTTTTTTCCCCCCAGAAATATAAGGATTTGTTGAGCTAATATTGTTTTATTATTTTTACTAATTTGTTAATTCTCTATTCTGTCCAGTGCAATTCATTTTACTCTGTTGATGGATTTTGCTTATTGTTATTAATTAAAATGTTTAGATAACTTAGTGTTGGATAAACATAAAGCCATTTAGAAATTACTAGCAAATTTAACATTTTATATATTATATACATTTTAAATTGGTTGAAATTTTTTTTTAGTTTACCTACTTTTTTGTGAGAATGTGAACTGGTCTAACTCCACCTTAATACTATGCTGTTTGTTTGTGTCTTTGTAGATAGGTTACATCAGCAGCATTCGCAGCGGAGGCCAGACCTGTGCACTTCTTTCAGACCAAAACATCATGGGCTTTGTCTCAGCGATTCATGAGCTTGCCTCAAGAGAAAGACAGTTCTATTGTTGGTTAAGCAGCGTCAAGAAGGTCCTCCTCACTCCCCTGCGCACACGAGGTCACTGGCTCAAACTTTAAAATAGGGCTGCACAATTTTGGAAAAAAAAAAAAATCTAATTTTGTTTTTTCTGACAAGTAATGCGACTGGATTTGCCGTATATATAAAAAGTAGTATTCGGTTCAGAGTGCACATTTGCACATTTTAAACAACTCCAGGAGCTGACTGTGTAATGTATTGATTATACTAATACACAAATCCCATGCATTTCAGAACATGTTTGTAGAGGTCTAAACTACAAAACTCTTTTTGGTACAATTTATGATTCTGATTCTATTGCAATATATTGTGCGGCCCTATGTTAAGATGTGCATTATATATAAATTGTGCAGAAAACTGAATTACTTAACATACTGTATGTCCTACAGAGGGTGTGAATCCCTGTTTAGGAGACCCATGCACTCGTCTGTTCTTCACTGTTTGTGAGAAGTTCACCCCTTTAAAGCTCTTGATTGGACGACACTCAGCAGCCCTCAGCTACTTCCTGTACGACCTGCAGAGCTGTGATGTCACTTCCCTTCCTCTGATCATCCGCATGGACTACTTCCTGGACACTTTTAAAGAGTAGGATATAATTTTACACTATATTGTGAAGTCCATTTTTAACTTTTAGTCTTCAATGTTCAAAATGTAAATGAGATAACACTTCTTGTCTCTCCAGGTATTGCTCTTCTGTAGGTGATTTTCAGGTCATGGGTGGATTTCAGTCCCTTCAGAAACTCTCAAAGTAATTTTACTTTTTATGTATTTATTAATACTTTATAATACACTTTTAAATTAATGATAATAAAAATAACTTAAGTGGACTACCTGGTGTAGTCCTGGTTTAGTTCTGGTTTAGTATTAGGATTAGTCTCAGTTTAGTCACTATTTTGAAGCAGTATTTGTGTGTGAACACACCCTAAACATTAATTGTGAGTGAAATGAACTGAAATGGGTAGCAAACTACCATCTAAAAATCATGGGATCAAATCTGTCCAGTAAGAGGCCTTGTACTTTTGTTTGTGGTAGTAACAGCAGCAGTTTGTTAATGACTTCATTGCAATAGTAAAGCATTAGTAGACTGGGCCTTTATCATTAGCATTGCATGTAAGATAATCTGAAGCTAATCTCTTGTCCATTTCTGTGCAGTGACTGTTTGGGATCCAAACACAGCGATCTCCATCAGCTCTGTGTCTCAGACTCAGGCAAAGATGAGGTGGACCTGGTTTCACTGTTATACTGGCCTCTGCAGCAGCTCCACCACTATAGCAGACTGCTGCTCAAACTGGCTGCCTGCTACGATGTGGTGAGATCATATTTACATAATTATTATTATAATTTTTTTTCTCTCATTGCTTTCTCTTGTTATTTTTTTTACTTTTTTGTTTCCTCAGCTAGGAACGCATATAAACTTATGCAATATATGTGCTGTTATCTGTTGCATTACTGTACAGTGAATTGCTACAACAATATAAATTCCTTGATCTTTTGTTGACCAAGAATTTCTTTAGTAGATTCTTGGCCATTATCAATCTATTACTGGCCATAGAATCAACCCTATAAAAATATACTAAATACTAAATATTATCTAAACTATAACTACATCTTAGTTTCTGTGTCCCTCTGTCAGCTCACTGCAGAGTACCAGTGCCTTCATCAGGGCTGTGGTCAGTTTGAGTCTTTGTCGTCATCGCTGTTAAAAAAGAAAAAAGAGGCAGAAATGACGTGCAACTTTTGGAAAACCCACTCAGGAAAAACTACTGTGAGTACTACTACTACATCAGCTTTGATGTTATAACTTTATGACCACTGCTTTTGCACAGCTAATTTACCTTAAGTGAGATTGTCCCAGATGGTTAGTAGATTAAAGTAACAGTAACATTAGGCCTGGAGAACCAACGCTTGCTTCAATGAATGATCAAAAATTGCCTTTACCATTAAGTGATAGTTAAAATGTGTTATAATTATAGTTTATAAAATGTGTTTTTTCTTCAGGAGGTGTTGCGTCTCCCTCATCGCCGCGTGGTTTGTGAGAGCAGCCACAGAAATCTGACTTTACAGAACGCTGGCCGCTTTTCAAATCACTGGTTCATTCTGTTCAATGATGCTCTAGTACATACACAAGTAAGTAACTCCTAAACACTAACTTTTTATCTATACTATGATAATGAATATATGTTAATAAAGTGTAAATAAACTATCTTTCACTCAGGGCACTATTCCCTCTAAGAGTTTTGTAAGTACTGTGTGTGTTTGGGCTTAGTCTCTTCATCTTTACCTTACCTTACTCTGGATGCATACTTTTTACTCCAGTGTTGAGATTGTGTGACATTTTACATGAAATCTTATAGTATATGGTGTGAAAGTAAAGTTGATCCCTCATATCTTAAAGAAGCACTATGCAGCTTTTCTTGTGGAAGGTACATCACCTGATTTTCCTCATGAATATGTTATTGCTTTGCCTGGAATGTTCCACAGTATGGCATGAAACTTTGAAAGGCATTTTTCTTACTGAGAGCAGGATCTCTCCACAGATCTGACCTTTAACCTGGCCTGCTGTTGCTACCTGCTTGTCTCCATATACGTAGTTCATCCTGGCAAACATTTTCTCCATGGTCAAGGAAGTGGCAGCCCTTTCACTAGAAAAGTTACATAGTGAGCCTTTAACTCTGGCTAGCTTTAGAGGTGTCTGATTCTCCTTTGGTGGTGGAGTAGGTAGTTCCTCCTTGTTGATTCTGTAAAAAGGGCCCATATTACACTCTTTTCTGATTTATTTTTCTAATATTGTCTCCTCATCAAAAACATACCTGGAGTTGTGTTTTGTTTCATTCACATGTGTTTAACACACAAACTCTGCATATTTAGGCTGAGTTCTTCTCTCCAACTAAAAACACCTTGTGATGTCATGTGGTAATACAGGAAGGTCTCCACTGGGTTTTTAAATTTTTTATCATTTGAGCCTTTGGATTTTCCTAACTTTGAAGTTACAGCTATTGTTTTAGTCTTATTAAAACATGCTCACTTTTCGTTACCAGCAGATATTTCTGTTGACAATCTCAACTGAACAAAAATTAAAACAAAAATATTCAAAAATAAAAGCAACAAGGTTAATTTAGTGTAAAATAGTAAAGCTGTTCATTTGAGGCTAAAATAAGTTATAACTTTAAACCTACCACTAAATTACATGACAAGGTGGAACAGAGCATTTTGAGCTTTGGAAATGTGACAGACTAATAATAAAGAATGTGTGAATGAAACAAAACACAACTCCAGATCTGTTTTTGAGGAGTTTACAACATTCTAACATCTGAAAAGATGTATATTCCCAAAACACATGTACTGTGTTCTGTTCTCCCTGTTCTCCCAGTCTGTCAAAATATTATCAATGACTTTTTGAAGCATTTTTGTAACAGTTCTGTGAATTTAGTGGAGTTTATGATGGTATTTTTTTGACCAAGCAATCAACATTTTCTGAGCATGGCATTACTAACATGAAACTTCCGGTGTGGGGACTGTGGTCTGGGTCATGTATTTTTTTCTTGTCTATTTCAAAACTGAAAGCAGCAATTTACCACAAAACCACAATATTTAATCTGTTTAACCATACTGACAGTTTTGTAATATTGGACAATATAATGCACATATTTAATAATAGTGTAAAGGTCACAAGCACATGAGGGAGTAAATGATATGTTTTATCTGTCCATCTCTGTTCACAGTTTTCCACTTATCACATTTACCCTCTGACCTGTCTCTGGGTAAAACCAGTTACTGAAAACAACAATGGCCTGTGAGTTTACGATACTTTTTATAACAACCACTATTCCTACTATTTTAATAACATTTGCCTCAATCTTTTTTACAGCGATGCCATTAAAATAATATGTCCAGAAGAGAATTTCACACTCGTGGCTTCTACACCACAAGAAAAGGTACATTTATGATTCACAAACTGACATAATTGGAATTTAAAGGTACCTGATTAAATAATTTTGTTACTAAACACTACATCAAAACAGTGTATATGTGCACTTTGCTCCTTGACAATTGTGAAAATCTTAATTTTAGGAATAATTTAGGAAAATCAGGAATTAGTTAAGATCCCAGCTAATTGTTTGAACTTAACTAGCTCCCTTTGTCATGGTTAGAAAACAGGAGAAATCAAGTACAGGAACTTACATGACATTGTACAAAATTTCATAAGCAATTTGTTTACAAAGAGTTGCATTTTTGACAGTATTTATTTTTCATCATGTGTGTAGAACAAGTGGCTGCGGGCTCTGAACCAGGCTGTTGATCAGGTGCTTGGAGGAGGAGGTCATGGGTCATCACCGGGCGTAACAGCGATGATCCGCACGGCCAGTTACACCTTTACCGGAGAGGGACGATTCAAAGACGCACAATATACAGGACAATGGCAGGCCGGGAGAGTTCATGGAAGGTGAATATGTGTAGTAATATTTATGTTACTGATAAACATATGTTAATTGTAAAGACTAAAATAACAAACAGAATGTAGAATGTTTTCTGTTTAACTATATTTATTGACAGAGGAACCATGAAGTGGCCCGATGGAAAGACCTATACAGGGAACTTTAAAAATGGATTAGAGGATGGGTCAGTATCATATTATTCTAATGCTTAAGATTTTTTTTTGTAAACATATTGAACCACCTCAATTACTAGTTAAATCGTATAATTTTTTCTAAATATTAGGTTTTGTATCTGTTTTTGCAACTAAACTAGATAAACCTTAAAATATTGTTTTTTAATTAGTGCATTGTTCATTTTAGTTATGGTGAGTGCTTGATGCCCAACAAGGCACTGAATAAAGCAGACTGTTACCATGGACACTGGAAAGATGGACAGATCCATGGTTTTGGCAAATACAAGTGAGTGCTCTATATTGACTTTCTAACAGACATTTTCATTACAGCTGTTACTTTTTAGTTACTGCTGTCAAACTGTCTGATCTCAAAGTTGTGACTTAAAAGTTGTATAGAGGATTTTCCAAGGAACGAGAAATCCAGCGACTGTTTGTCCTTTTTCAAATGTTGTTCATGCGTGAAAGCACCCCCCCCCCTCCCCTACAGCTCCCTACGTAGAAACGCCTCCTCCCTCCTCCTCCTTACGCCAGAAACAGGTTTGTTTACAGCCGGTGCGCTGCACATGACTTGTAAACAACTAACTACAGTGTTGGTTAGGCAAGGCGGAGAAGTGAGGAGCGGGGGGAGGGGGTGTGCGGACATTTCGTTCGCGGACGGGAAGTGAGGAGCAGGGAGAAGAGCGGAGCGGGGAGCAGGGAGAGGAGAGAGGAGAGGGGAGCGGTGCGCGGAGATTCCGTGCCCGGAGAAGTGAGGAGCAGGGGGAAGAGCGGAACGGGCAGCGGGGACAGGAGCAGGAAAGGGGTGCAGAGAGGGGGCGCGGAGATTCAGTGCGAATGAACTAGCTACAACACGCAGCAACAAGCGGACTCTTTCTTTGCATTGAAAATTACGTTTTCAGACATAGGATATCACTTTCGTGTCCTGAAAAACGTTTGACTAGCTCTTGGAAATAAAGTACGTTTTCATAATAAGCAGAAGTGACCTGTCCAGGAGTAATTTGGCGACCAGTGTGTCAGTCTTTAGACCCTGCATCTGCTTCAGTTGCGCCATCGCTGGAATGAATCTTCAAGAATCACCTTAGTTTGGCTTCGCTGCTTTTCCCCTTGTCTTCTTCTTCAGCAATCTCAAAAACGGACTTTCTTTTGCGGCTAACTGCTCCTGGATTCTTGTCTGCCATTGCAACAAACTTTGTGCTAACTGCGAGGAAGATATAGGTCAAAAAAAGCCGCTAAGAACTGCTGCGTTGGTGGAGTAAACAGCGTCTGTGCGTCTTGCGTCTGTGGACTGCGTGACAGGCGTACGCAAACCACGTAACGGCAGCGCGCAGGCAAGTCAGTTACGCTAGAAACGTAGGGAGTTTGATTAACAGCCTGTCAGCTAACAGATAACGAGGCAATGTTGTTATCTATTGGCAAATGTTTAGCTGGCCCCACCACGTCCAGAGTTGATTAATTTTTATTCTCTTTTTTTTGGTCATCATAATTACAAGGCTACTGCACCTCTATAATGCTATCATTGACAATTTGAAACAAAAAAAATCCTCCATACAACCTTTAACTAAACTTTGTGTTTCTTGTAGATATGCTGCAGGAGAGGTGTACGAGGGCTGTTTTTTTGAAAGCCAGCGCCATGGTTACGGGATGCTCAGCTCTGGGAGACTGGCCCGCTCCTCCTCTAGCGTTTTCATTGGGCAGTGGGTTCACGACAAGAAGATGGGATATGGGGTCTATGATGACATCACCAGGTACTGCTATAACATCATTGTGCGAGTGTTAATATTTTTGACCAGACTATATATTAGACTGTGTGTATTTACAGTGGTCAGAAATATATGGGATTGTGGGTGGATGATCAGCGCCATGGAAACGCAGTTGTGGTCACTCAACATGGCCTGTATTTTGAAGGGACATTCAAGGAGAACAAGATGAGCGTAAGATCATTAAAACATTGAAAACTTTAGAAATCTCATATAGTCTCTTGTCTAGTTATTGGTTTTTATAGTAGGCAAAGGCCAAATCTCTAATACAGATGTTTTTTCAGTGAATTGATGCTTTATTTTTTCAGGGTTCAGGCTTGCTGGTGTCAGATGATGACACAACTTTCCATGGAGAGTTTTCTGATAACTGGATTATAAATGGAAAGGTAACATCCATAGTTTTTCTCTACTGTACCAACCATTCCCAAAGTCTGCAGCTCCTCAGTGCCGTTATCAATCTGAGAATTCCATTGGGACCCCCTATTAGTGATGTATAATTAACTATAACTTTATATAATCTTAGGGTCTCCTACACTTGGCTAATGGTGACTTCTTTGATGGTGAATTCAGTGGAGAATGGGCTTCACTCAAAGTTACCGGGACGTTTTCTAAACCTGCGGTAGATGAACCTACGAACAAAGAAAGGAATAACACACTGTAAGATGAACTTAATAAAATATTTGTAATATTTTATACAATATATTAAAAAAACAAATTTACAGATAATATTTGTAATTGTATTGTGTATATTGTAGTGCACTGGGACAGTACGTGGTGCCTGCAGCTCAGAGATGGGTGTGTGTTTTTGATGAGTGCTGGGGTCGACTGGGCTGTGAGGCACCTGGATCAGGACAGAGGACTGTCGCCTGGGACAACATCGCTGTTACCATAACAACCACCAGGAGACAAACGTGAGTGATGTGGTCAATAATGTATAATAACATAATTTAGTCTTAAAATGATAGAAGGTTTAGTTTTGGTTGTCCTTTATAAACATTAATTATTGACAAGCTTTTGATTTGCTTTGCAGATAGTTAAAATGAAATAAAGAAATATACAAAGTCTTATTGAAGCTAGCTATTTTGAGCTTGTCTGTTTTTTATGGTCTTCTTTTATGTGCATCCAGACCAGACCTCAGTAAATCCCAAAGTAAAATCCTGGAGAGTTTGGAGTTAATTCCTCAACATGAAGAAATCGTCACCACTGCAAACTACGACCACATCCGCAGATACCTCACTAAAGTAAGACTTAATTGATATAGTCATTGTACTTACTTTAAAGATGCATTGTGTAACTTTTTCTGGTAGAGAGTTCACCATCTGCTTGTCTCCATGGAGATGTTATAGCATCGACTAGCAATAAAACCACCTGTAATTGGATAAAAGCAACACAGATAAATACAGGGTCATACAGTGAAACATTCCAAGCAAAGCCACAGCTCATGGGAACTGATCTAAGTTACACAGTGCATCTTTAAATCTTTCTCCTTGTCCCTGACCTGTGTTCTTGTCCCAGGCATGTGAGACCCCTCTGCACCCCCTGGGCTGGCTTGTAGAGACCTTAGTGACTGTGTACAGAATGACTTATGTGGGATCAAACCGCAGACTGCTGCGACAGGCTGTTCAGGAGGTCCAAGCCTACCTCACCCACTTTGACTGCATTGTTAGGTCAGTGTGCACCTCTAATACACTCATAATTCTTAAATATCAGAAGAAATTGCAATAAACTGATTTGAATTTACGTTAAAGACTGGATATTATTTGTTTGATTTGAAAGGTAATATTGTATGCACAAATAATTCATTCAACGTCTACACAAATATATTTTTCCCTCTTCCCATTCATCCCAATTTACTTCAATTTGACTGTAGGTTCCTATTCCCCGGATTACCAGATGATGGCAGTGTAATCCCTGATCCTCCAACCTCTCCCACCAGATGCAGACACTCCTTCATCTCTAACACAATGGAGCAATGGTGAGTCAAACTATTGGTACTGGTACACATGACATGGTATCATGCATCTAATCAAAAGGAGGGTTCAAATACCTCCTGTGAGAGACCGCAAGATCACTTCAACATACACATATGATTCAGAAAACTACTTCAGACATGTTTTTGATGAGGAAATGTTATAATATGGTAGTAAGATTAATTTAGGATAATACCCCCTCTTTAATAAAATAATTTTACGACAAATAAAACACTTTGCAATTATGTTTTCATTGTTCCTTTGTCAGTGTTGTGGTGGTGAGCAGCTCATCTCTGCTGCTGCCTCTGCTCCTCCCGCGTCTCTACCCTCCTCTCTTCACTCTGTACGGTCTCCAGGAGGAACAGGACGAGGCCAAGTACTGGGAACGCATCCTCCGACTCAACAAGTCTCCAGACCAAGCACTGCTCAGTTTCTTAGGGGTGAACGAGTGAGTTTGAGCACATAATAGAAACAAGCTTTAACTTATTTTTTGGTACTTTCTGTTCATATCTCTTTATGAAGATCTCTTGTGGCTGCACTGCCCTCTGCTGGTACTTCTCACAACCTCTGACCACCTCAGCTCAATGCAATTTTCTACACAGCATTTTAACATATTAGAATACGCTGCAGAGACTTCATTTCCATACAAGGTCTAAAAAATAAACACTATACAAAATACAATACATATTTGGGATTGTTTAAACCAGTGGGTCTCAAACTGTGGTGCATGTATCACTGGTAATATGCAAACTCCATTAGGTGGTATGTGGATTCCTTCAGTTTTATCTATATATTTGTCCCTTTGGTCCTCATTTAAAAGTATTATATCAGTTGTGTACTACTATTTGTGCCCTGGTTTATATCTAGAACTGGCAATATTCAGCCAATATTCATTACTTAGTGTGTTCTTTTGAGAATCTAAGCTTGATTAAAGCTCCGGTGGCTCATTTTAACATGTTAAAAATGCACATATTCAGTTATTCAGTGTTCTTCAGTCTATGGCCCTCCATTGGCCCTGTGCTTTGTCCATGCTTTGATATGTAGCCCTTAATGAAAAAAAAGGATAACTTTGACCTAGAATAATCCTGTTTTTGACCTGGTGGTACTATTAAGGCCAATTTTTTTTTTTTTAGATGGTACTTGGGGTAAACAATTGGTTTAAGTTTTGATTAACTTGTACTTTTCTTTTTATGCAGGAAATTTTGGCCTGTCTGGATGTCTATACTTGGAGAGAAGAAACAGGTTTGTTGCGACACTGTGTACAGACTTATTACTGTAATATTTCTTTGCTACTATTATTTTGTTTGTTTTCTTGCTGTTTTATGTCTAACAGATTGTGTCAAGCAGTAAAGACGCCTGCTACGTCTCAGCTGTAGAGACACTTCAACAGATCAGGTACAGAACTGTGGCTATCTTAAGCATTATCCTGACATTATTATATGCACCATTCATTAATTCATGCCAAAAATCTTGATCCGGGCAGCACTACATTCACTCCATCGGACAAACTGACGGTGATACAGAAGACTTTCGAGGAGCTGACACAGGAAGTAAAACCCCTGGTGGAGGAGAACTTCCTGTGGTGCATGGACGACCTGTTTCCTCTGTTTTTGTATGTGGTGATCAGAGCCAGGTCAGTCCCATTTTAAACCCTCTCTAATGTTATCTAAGTGCTCACAGACATTGCAGATTTAATGGTTTCCTTCTCTTCAGGATCAGGAACTTAGGAGCCGAAGTCAGTCTGATTGAAGATCTGATGGATCCTAATCTTGAGCATGGAGAGATGGGGCTCATGTTTACTACACTGAAGGTGAGGTATCTGGTGTTTAGTATGTCTAATGCTTAGTTATGTCATTGAGTCTAGTCTAGTTGCACTATGTAACTTTTCTGGTTCAGGGTTCATCTACAGTTTATCTCCAATGAGAGATTACCAGTATTACTTTCCCTAATCTGTATTAGTGTTGTCACGATACAAATATTTCAAACTCAATTTCCATACTAAGGAATTCACTCAATATTTGCTACCAATTACAATACCACAGTGAGGATACAACATTCTGCTCTTTTACCAATATAATTTTCATACACAAAATAATAGTGCTTTCTTTGTTACCATGAATTTCTACTATTTCTGTTAAAGAACAAAATGACACTAAAACTGTTCAGGAAAGCTCAAATTATCTCCTGTTAGTGTGATTTTTTGCAGTATCAGTACTTGCTCAGATGAGTATCTAATTTCAGTATTAGTTTTAGCATTGATTAGTATCTAATTTCCAACACATTTATAGTCTTTTTTAAATGACATGCATACCAAATATAGCAAATACAGCTATACTAAGATGCCAAAGGTGCACTATGTTGCTTTGTCTGGAATGTTCCACAGTATGGCAATAAAATGTGCAACGTAAAATGAATTAAAATTTTAAAACATAATTTGCAAATCTGAATGCAGAAAATGTTTTTTTTTCCCTTAATTGTGTAGTCCTAATTTTGATACAGTTGCTATTGTCAATGTAACATATTGAATGTGTGTTTGTGTGCAGGCCTGTTACATCCAAATTCAACAGGAGTCGATGATGTAGCAGTTGAAAACAAGAAGGCAAAGAAAACAAGCAAAATACAGGTTTACAAAAGGAGCAGCAGGAACAAATTCACCAAAAACACACTAGCATAAGAAGCTATATCGTGGATGCACTGCCCTCTGCTGGTTACTTACAGAACTGCACTGTTCATCTCCACCTCAGTGAAGTTATCAACATATACGCTAAAATATTGCATGACATGTATGTAGTGCCAAAAATAACTTTAGAAATAGACTATTTATTTTGTATCTAACAGCATTTTATATGTATAGGAAGGGAACATTGCTATCTTACGTTTTGCACTAATTGGTAAACTACTGCTCTTTGTGTGTTTGTTTGTGCACTGGATTTGAAAGTTCCATAGACTTTAATTAATTAGTTGTTTTGCAACTTGTTTGAGATATGGCTCAATACTGAGTGAAGAGTGTTAGGAAAATGTTATTATGAATTTCTCTCACTTTGAATATTTCGATACTGAAGGGCATAGCGTGTTTTTGAAGAATGTACTAAACTAAAGCAATAATATCATGTTTGAAATTTAATAGATCTTTTTCACTACTAAACTATGCAATACCTCAGACATGATTTAAATTTTTGGTTTAAAAGGGATTCAACTTTTAGTATGCAAATTTGATGTGTGTATGCTCTGTAGACGAGATATGTATGCCCTTTTACTTACATTAAGTTTGATTCAAAACTGATTAAATTAAGTTGTTCAGAAATGAGAGACATGCATTTCTATCTGTCAAAAGACATGGTTTGTTTTAATATTTTGTATATTTGGGGAATGGTGAATAGGAGTGCACCATAAAACATAACTTCACTTCTGAACAAATTGAATTAAATTATTAAGTAATATACTATCTAAAGTGTTTGCTTTATGTTTGTACCTAAATGAAATCTATTTGTAGTTTTTACAAGCACTTACCCACATGACTGAATTGTGACATTCTTATTTTTATAGCATCTGTGTTCTGTAAAAACAACTGGAACATATGTTGTTACCTATTAAAAGGGCAGTAAATTGTAATGGAGATTTATCATGTGGTTTCTGAAAAGCTTTCAAATAAACACATCTGCTTGGTTTTAGATCATAAGGTGAAACTTTAATCGGCCTATGTCAGGAATTATACTGTATGGCTATTATATGTAGTGCAACCAGATTATAGTCACAAATACTGGAATACCCTATGTCCTTGGTTTTTACCCAGTGTTATGTTGGGGAACTCAAGTATTGCCAGGTGACCCATAAAAATTCCCACATTCACATTCATACATGGATTTTATGGAATAAGTTGCCATTACTAAGCGAACATCTGATCTAAAAAAAAAAAAAAAAAAAGCAAAACAATTATTACCACATTATATTTTACATTTACCTATATTACAGATATGGTCATATTTCTGTAGCTTGGGGATTCTGGCATAATGAACTGTGCAATGATATATATTTTCACAGTTGAACACAAGATGGCGCCCTTGGTCTTTGATAATTAGTTGAGTTAGAGCCTTTCTTGTGGTGTGGTCCAATTAGAAGTAGGATTGTTGATTGAGACATTGATAGCGCCATCACCAGCCACACCTAACAAACTTAAATTATCCGGATCAAACTCTTACATAATTTTTAGACGTAACCATCTTGTGAACTGGACGTACGGGGATGTGCTGTGCCAACACTTGTCCCGTGACCTGATGAAACCGTGACAGAGGCCGAGTTCACCAACACGCGGGCTGCAACACGAGCGGCTCCCGTTTGGATTATTGATGTGAAACGTGTCGCAGGTGACGTTAAGGACACAGCGTGCGCCTAAATTTAGCTCTGTTTGGAACTCTGCACTTAGAAGAACTGAGGTGTGGATGTTAGAGAAAATAATTAGCCTAATGATGGAGTAAGTAGCCATTGTTTAAAATGTCAAGTGCATTGAAATAAAGATAGGCAGCTCAAATATGCTGTCAGCAAAAGCGGACTGCACAGGCGGACTAGGCCAATACTGTTGGCTGATCTGTAACACTAATCAATGACACTGATAGACTGCTGATCAGGTCAATAGATCTACTTCAAATTACTGACTCTCTAATAGCCTACTAATACTCCTGCTAGGCATACTACTACTAGGCTGCTTCCTCTATTACTAGACCTATGATTACTACTAGGCTACTACTGCTTCTGCTTCTACTACTAGGCATAATACTTCTGCTATACTACTACTACTACTACTACTACTACTACTACTACTATGTCATCTACTACTTGGCTACTACCACTACTGCTAGCCTACTGATGGCACAACTTAATATTGTACTAAGTACTACTTTTAGAAAAGTACTTATCCATGTTATCCATTTTACTCATAACATCAGAAGTATTTTTACTTAGGCCTGTATCACTAAATTTAAGTAGCTGTCTACAGGTCATCCCCCCAAGAAAAAACAAACAAACAAAACAAAACAAAACTTTTTTTCATTTATGCATTTAATCCAATCTTTGATCATTCCAGAACTCAGATTGCTTACAGAAGTATCTGCAGCTATAGTTTTAGCCTTATTTTACATGTTAGAACCATTTGTGTGAAAAAAAAGTTAGTCTCTGTTCCTTTTCATTCACATTGATGTCTGTAACATCATTATTTTATATCTATCTTAAAAGAATGAAACAAAATAAAAAATGAAATGACTGCCCCTCTCTTCTGTGTCAGCAGGAAGTGAAGGTGTTCTATAAAGCTCAGAAACTGTGATTGATTTATACTATCACCAGTTTTCTCTAGAAATGCCAATGCAGCACTATGCAAAAAGTAAATTAAAACAACTGAATAATGCATGTTATAAGACCTTTAATACTTGTCCTCTCTTTTCTCTAGTTAAACCCATTGACCCGTGCAAAGCCAGTGGTTGTTTGTAGAAACATGGAGCTGCTGGTGAGTGTTTTGGAAAGAGCCACATCGGAAATCATTACTTTAGACCTGAATTTAAAGCAGCAGAGATACGCTTAGTGTTGATGCAGGCTTGAACAGTGTGAGAGAGACTGATGCTGGTGAAGCCAAGTAGAAAATAAAGGGTCAGCACATTTAAATGGATAAAGAGAGAATATGATATCTCATGCTATTTGGTCAGACACTGAACAAATGTATAGAAACAAAATTATATCTACATTGAATTTCATTGGGAAAACTTTAGGTTGGAAGTTTGAATCTCGCTTCAACACTGGCCACAGATGAATACTCTTTTGGTGTCATTGGGCAAGACACTAAACCCTCCCAGTGTCTTTGTACAATGTGATTCGTTGATGTAAAGTGCTTAGAATATGACCATTTACCATTAACTATTTTTTTTGCATAAAACAATAAGCCAGTTTGGATCTTTGAATTGTTTACTCTCAACCTGAAAATTATTGTTCAAAAGTCTTTCAGCCTCCAGCCTATAGCCCTTTTGCGTTCATCCTATACCATATAAGTAGCAATTTTCTGGCTAAATACAAGCTATGAACTGTGCTCTCATAGTGCTCCATAACACTTAACCATATTTGGCACTAAATACAAAGTCCTCCATAGTAATTGTGTATAATCATGTATAATTTATAGACCAACTCAATAGTGTCTTTGGTCTGGTCATTATGAGGCCTGTTTATGAGCACTTCCTTCACTTCAGCCAAACATAATTGAATTAGTTTTTGTTTTCCCGGCTGTGGAGTTGTTAATGTCTCACTGGATCTGACAACTTGTTTAGAGCTCCAGTGCTGCCAGTAAGCACATAGAAATACTGCCACGTGAAGCAATTTGCCCCTCTCTGCAGGATATATGGTACTTTTGACTGTCTGACACCTTATAATGTATGGGTTTGTTCCACATATGACACATCTGTATTTACAGAAAGTGATTTAAAGGCCACATTTCTAGTTCAAAACAAATTAAAATGGTGACTCACTATGTAGAGTTGTGTTTGAAGTGAGGGGTGACAGTGGATGCTTTGACCTATACTGGATTTAAATATGATTTGTCTCTGTAGCAGGGCTGCCAAAAGAATAATAATAATAATTTGAATAGATGCCACTAGCAAAGTGCACAGGGTAACATTTTTGAAGTAGCATTATTTCCTCTAACCAACTAAATATTTTTGCTCTACATAAAACCTGCTGATAATGTAATTTATCTGTAATTTAGATGACATGATCTCAAGGAAATGATTCTTGGTTTGGTTTGTCAGCTCATTTTTGTCACTTCTTCTGGACAAGTTTAAAATGTGAACTTTGAAAAAAGCTTGAGATTGTTTTGAGAGACTTTGAGATATTATTCAAAATAAATTGCAAATCTACTCATATCACACGTTATAAAATCGCAATTAGATATCAATTATTGCATCAGCCAATGCAATATAGATATTTTTGCGATATACTGTGCAGCCCTAATTCATAATGTCATTGTGTACTTTCTTGGGTAAGACTCTTCGCCTACTTTGCATGAATAGGGTAGTTATAAAGGCTGTTGACCGAGAATGGCTCCTGTTAGTTTACCCAGGGTAAATGTAGCTTCAGAAGTATAGAATATCTCCGCAGGGTGTGAGAGTGAGTGAAAATTGTCTTTGATGCACTTGGAGAAGTTATTCCAAAGTAGTAAAGAGCAATAGGTTGCGTCTAAGCTGTTATTATTTTTTATTATCTTAGCATATATAACTGTCAGTATCACAATCACAGTATCACACCTAAATAATGTCAAGAGTGAACTTAAGTTGTGCCCAATCAAATATGCATGATAAAACTTGTCATTAAAACCATTATCTAAGATGCCTTTGTATGGGACATTTGTGAGCCAATAGTTACTAGGGTTTATTTGTAATATTTCAGTCTTTTTGTCAATTCTTCTGGATGCATTTAAAATGTGAATTTCAGAATCCATAAATCACAAATCTAATCGCAATGCAATGAAGCATTCCAGTAAGATTTTTTTCTCATATCATTCAGCCCTAGTTACAACTGGCAACGCCTTGAGCGCATAGTGAACCATAAAGAGATGACAAATCTCTTAATATCTTCCAATTTCAATGTTATAATCTTTCTAAAATTATTCCAAACAGTGCTATTGTGCAAATAAAACCCTTGTTTATTTATTTTAGACAGCATCCTCTTGGCCGCTTTTACAGCTCAGCAGTGCAGCAGCCAAGGCCATCGAGTTCAAGTTGGCAGGACTTTACACACTCCCCCTCCTCTTTCTCTATGTCCCTCTGTTTGTCTGTCTCGCTCTCTGACTCTTTTTCTGTCTGTCTCTCTCTGTCTGTGTGTGCATATCTCTCTGTCTCTCTCTCTCCCACTACTATCTCTTTCTTTCTTCTCCTCTCTCTCTCTCTCTCTCTCTCTCTCTCTCTCTCTATGTCCGTATCAATTTCTCTTGCTCTTTCTTTATGTCACTTTCTTTCTCTCTCCCTCTCTCTGTCTGTCTTTCTCTCTCTCACACAAACTTCTCTCTTCTCTTTTTTTTCTGTTTCACAAACTCTTGCTCTTCTTTTTTTTTCTTCCTTGTCCCCCTCTCTTTTGCCCTCTTCTCTTTTTCTCTTTCAGCCCCTCTCTGTGTTTGGACACGTGATGACTAAATCAGATGTACAAAACGAAACAGACTAAAGGACTTAGATCTAATTGAAATCACCCTGGTCTGTCTCTTCTGTTTCCTGCAGCAGTGTTACCATCCTAAGAAAAGAGGGTCAAAACACGTGAGGGCATTTGAGTTCGACTTCTGCTGTACTGCTTTGCCTCTTCTTAGAGCTGTGCAATGAATCACATTTTAATCAAGATTGATGCCATCATTTGAAATGGTCAGTGACAGGTTTGAGTTTCAATGGAGAGTTGTCAGTAGTACTATGTGGTTTGGAGCAGAATTCAGACAGAAATGTTGTTTGTTAAAGGTCCTAAATTACAAGAAATTTACTTTTGTGAGCTTTAAACCATTAAAGATAGAATCTGAGTTAAAATGTTGTTTCCTCATAAAAAAACAAACAAACAAAACAACAACAAAAAAACAAAAAAAAAAGGAGTTGTGTTTTGTTTCTTTCACACGTTTGAGTAATTCTTTATGATTATTATTATTCTGTTTACATCTCCAAAGCTCAAAAT